CACACCCGCCGTGAGCTCCTTGTCATGATCGGGAAATAACGGAAAAATCCGTCGACAATTCAGTGTGTAAATAATGGCCTAACAATTTGTATGAAAATCGTCAGTCAGCATTTGACTTAATAATAAATTGTATTTGCTGACAAGGTCATTGTATCGACCATAGAACTTACGAAATGATGACTTTGAACGAGACAGCTGATATTCTTGTTTCATCAACTTGTTTGTCAATAATTCACCTCGTTTTAGAAATTGTACATACGTAGAGCATGCTCTTGCGTATCAAATCAACTGAGAGAGATATACCCCGTATGCAGGTGATTAAGGTATATTGCTGCATAAGTAAGGGAAGTTGACGATTGATAAGTTAAATTCATCACGTTTATCATAAAGCTTGGTTGTTAGATTACCATTAATGTCTTTTCAAGTAAAATATTCAAATATGAAACAGATGTGTCAGACTCTGTGGTATCTTTTATCTCAAGCTCACAAGGATATATTGTATCGACATAAGAATGGAAATAGCCATTGTTGATTGACAATACGTCGCCGATATATCTAAATGTCGAGTTGTATGCCACAGCAAGTTTTTTGTTCATTTCACGTACAAAATTTTGGACAAATTCTGCTTCATATGAATACAAAAAAGGTCTGCTAATAACGGGGCGCAATTGGTACCCATGAGAATTCCAATAGATTGTTGGAAAACCTGGTCTCCAAAAACCACATAGATATTGTCAATCAGTAACTCAAGCATCTTTTTAATGTCAACTTCAGAGTACTTGTGTGTACAATCAGAATGTTTTTTAACAAAATAATTTTGCAAATGACCAATGACAAGGTAAGTAAATTTACAAGTTCCATTTTTATTGAAAAAGCAGCTGTCAATGATATAAGAAAGCCTGGACTTTAATTTATCGTGGGGAATGGTTGTGTATAAAGATGAATAGTCGTAAGTTTTTAAGCTGTTGGTTTTGGTAAAATCATGTAATTTCAAATTTTCTAAAAGTTCCTTGGAATTTTTAAGTATCCACATCTGATTTACACCACTTCTTGAATATATTGTTGCACAGTACTCTTGAAGTTTCTCTTTCACTTCTGTTAATATCTTAGTGAGGAGTAAAGAAAGAGGCTTGGATGAACATTTACTGGAACCCGCTATGTATCTTTGTAAGGATTTTTATGAACTTTTGGAATTCAATATAAATATGGTAATACAAATTCATTTTGGTTTTTTTTTGGAATATTAAAAATATTCAAAACTGACATATGATTTTGAAGAATTTCTTCCTTAGAAAGGGAACTATTAGTATAAGTTGGATAACCACTTGTAGAATTAAGTCCAAGTTCCTCTAAAATACATTTAATATAATGAGCCTTACAAACACAGACAATGTTGTTACTTGCTTTGTCAGCAGGGACCATTATATATTGTACTAATATGTTGTTTGTTTTCGTAGATGCCGAAATCAACAACTTCTAGTGGAAAGATTTGGAAAGAATAAAGCAGGAAAATTGAGACTTATATCCCCCGTATTTAATGATGTGTACAATTTTATTTTTTACAAAAATAATGATCATTATATGGCTGTTGTCATATTTTAGCTTTACATTTAATTGCATGTAATGCTCAGAACGTCCTTGTTGCACTTTTAAAAATAGATTTGCTTTTCTTATGTAAATCACATACGTACCAATTTTGATGCACCAGATGCTCATTTCGAGAAATTATGTCTCTTATGTTATGTTATCCTATATTATAAATAGATACAGGAATTCTTAAATACTATTTTTCATGGATTTTGTAAGAGCATAAAAACCCGTTCAGATTTGTTGGCATGTAGAAGTAAACATTGGAAAGTTAAATTCTGGAAAAAGCTTTTCTTGTTTGTGTTTTTCTAAGATTAGGAAATTCTCTGAATTACTGGTTGATACAAATGTAGCTATACTTTAATTTTCTTTGCATTATTTTTATGTTCGCGATATTTTTTAACTTTGTTTCACTTCTTTCAGTATTCGAGTGCTTAATCCATGTGCAAGTTTCTATGTAGCAAGGATTTGCATTAAGTTTTCTATAATTGTTAATATATTGTCCCTTTCTAGTATATATATATACAGGTGACTCTCGATCTCTCGAAGTTTAAGGAACCGCAAGAAAAGTTCGAGAGATCGAGGGGTTCGAGAGAAAGAAAGTGAATAAAATCCGAAATTTTCAGTTCCGATCATCATTGTTCTACTATTATAAATAACGAAAATATATGCTGATAATGTCATTGCACGTTTTCATTCGTATTTTACAGGTAATTCACTTGATTTCAACAACAATAATCGTATTTTGAATAAATAAAACGATCTCTTTAACTTTCAATGTTTATTTGTTCCCGTTTCATGATTACATGAAACCTGAATATCAATCGTCGGTGTGGCTTCCCCCTGTGCTTGATCGGGTCCTTCACCAGATTTCTCGTGTGAAATTGGTATTTAATTCTTGAGATAGGATTTCTTGTGCAATGTTTGTCATACTGGGATTAACTAGACTCTAATAAAACTTTATAATCTATGGAAAGTTATTGACACGTCTCTTAAATTATTTTCTAAAAATTATTGTCTCGCTGTCAAGTGAAAATAGGTTGTGAAGTAATTCGTTTATATTTTACTAGTTATAACCAATTAATTATATCAATACTCGGATGCTCACAGGTATAGTGTCATCTATGTAAACATCCAATTAACACCTCCATGCCATCCCAATGTGTTCACTGTCATCCAGGCAATTCCATGCTGCATTAATTTTACGCTTGATTGGCGTGTACACACGCGCAATCATAACTTCGAGAGATAGAGAGTAAAAAACAATGAAATGTGTGTAACGGGACCCAGGTCTTGGTTCGAGAGATAGAGAACTTCGAGAGATCGGAAGTTTGAGAGATCAGGAGTAAATTTGCATAGTTATATAAAGGAAAAAAGGGGGACCGGAGGTTCACTTCGAGAGATCGGAGTTCGAGCCATCGAGAGTCACCTGTATATATATAATATATATATATATATATATATATATATATATATATATATATATATATATATATATATATATATATATATATATATATATATATATATATTGTAGCTTTTTTATTTAACGTCATATTACAACCAAATTTATTACACATATTTTAACAACAGATTCAAATAATTTAAGTAAGAAAATTGGAATTTATCTTGATAATTATAAAAATTATCAAAGATTTCAGACAGCAAGAATGGGGTCACGGAGCAGGGTCAAAATTAAGTTATTTACTAATTTTACATTTTAAAATGTTTATAGCCATACCTCTAATGAACAGTGCTTAAACAAAATTAAATTTACATGATTAAATTTAGTATTGTTCTATTACTTCAGATGCTTAAAGGTAATGTAATACGTCGCTTCGTTTAAAAGATATGAATTTCTAAAGACAGATAGACTTGATTAAAAAAAAAGCAAAAAAGCATGACATCGAAGGACGTCACGGAGCTGCGAGTAGCAATAAAATTTTGTTTTGCATTCGGGAAACCTCTAAAACAAACTCTTAAAATGCTGGAGGAACTAGGAAATATATAAAAACAATTTTTGTGTGGTAGAGACTTTGAATCGGACGATGGACGGTCTGCGAAGAAACAGATTATAGTTAAAAATCTTATCAAAAGACTTTGTAACGTCATGTAACGTCATGTGCTCTTCACTGTTGTGGAACTTGTGAAAGCAGAGTTACGCGTTAAAGAATTTGAAAACATTGACAATCCAACTTCAGCTTCTCGAACAATTGTTAGCAAACTTGGTGTCAAGTGTTATGCATATGGTTTTTATCAATTGGGAAGACGCTACCAATCGTGTATGAAATGAAAAGGCAGAGCAATTTTGAGAAACTTTCTCGACGTTGTTTTTGACGTAACAATGTTGTTAACCGTGCTCCGTGGTGACAAAACATGTTGCTTTTAAAATTGTCTAACATGAGTTCCATTTAATCAAACGGAATGAAACTTCACATATCGACAAAATAAATGTTTTTATATACGAAAATGTGTTGATCTTTTAATCTTGTAAAAATAATAATATGATGAGGAACATTGTCTACGTATTTTTTGAATGACCTTCGTATATATATATATATATATATATATATATATATATATATATATATATATATATATATATATATATATATATATATATAGATAGATAGATAGATAGATAGATAGATAGATAGATATAGATTGATTGATTGTCTTTGAACATTTTTCACTGGGGGTAAATGACTGGTTTCCTATGTTGGAAATAAATTAGTTAAACTCAATATTTACACCTTATAAAATACATTTATGTCCATATTTTTCATCAGTGTATAGAGGGTGCTTAGTTTGATCAATAATTCGGCAATGCATGCATAATACTGGATCATTGATGTTCACTATTGACCATTTAATGATAAGTGCATGAATATATAGCATAATGATCACTGATCTTGCGCGACAAGGTCGTGTACCGGAAATTTGTGATTTATGTTTAAATGTTAGCCCAGATAATTCTAAAACGACCATTTAAAAAGATATTGATAAAAAAAACTGTGTTTAATTTTCCCACAGATCAAAGTAAGTTTACATGAGAAATATCGATATTAATACCTTTCTTATTTAAAAAAAATAATCCTTTATCCCTCTTGGAATATTGTATTGGTATTGTATTGAATGTATATACATCTTTCTAAAAATATATCAATATTCAAGTAAATATAGTTGGTCAAGTGCCTCTTCGATCAAAACATTATAAGGTCATCAAATGCTTCTTTGGGCTACTATATTCCTCTGTATCCTCCTATAAAGACCAACATCTCTTCCTTCAAAGGACATTTTTTCATGACATTTTGAAGATAAACTGAGAGTGCATAAGTCATAGCATTCATATAGAATATAGGACCCGGCATTAAGATAACTGATTCTATTCTAATTACAAACATTTTTTAAGGATGGTACTTTATATTCTTCATTACCTTTCCTGGATGCTGTTTTGTTCAATTATTACTACTTTTATAGAAGCGTCCATTTTAACTACGAAAGAAAACGAATTTTACAATTACGAAGGTGACGTTTCGTATGATAATCATACTCACACAATATCAACCTTTGATTTGTCTTACTCTATGACAAAGATACGCTGTGCCTGGAGGTGTCTGAATGACTTACAGTGCTATGCTGTAGAACTATGTTCTACTGCTAATGGGGAGGAATGTAGATTAAGTAAGGGTTGTAAGGCTACCGGCGATATTATCTCTGGACCGACGTGCAGACGATTTCAGATGGTAAGTTATTCAGGAAACGTTAATTTATTTCATATTGGTTCGTTTTAGAACTCTGATGTATCAATTTTGATAAAGTAAAGTTTAAACGTTTACAATAAGATTATCTGAATTTTGTTATCAAAAATACTTTTGTTTTTATCAAATTTAAACTATAAAGTATAATTTATACACTGAGGTACTCGTTAGTTGCAGATCTTTATCTCACTGGTTTGGAAAAAATACCATGAACCTTGTTTAAACTGTCATTTTGGGTAGAGTGATCATTTGGTCCAAAGCACTTTGTGCGATGATTCTTATTTCACCTAGTATTGTTTTAAGTCTTTCGAATCTTTTTCCACTCAGGCGACTTTATTAGACATGCTAATGTTTCTGGACCAGTTGTTTATGAATACTTGATTTATGAAGCACAGTATTTGAAAATTTTGGATGGAGTTGACGGAACTCTGGCAACAACCATATGAACATCGCTGAATTAGAACAACTCTATTAATCAGCGACGGAGATATATTTTTTTTTCTTAATTTACTTAAAAATTAAAAAAAAAACGGCTCTAAAAAATTTATTAACTTATTTAAAAAAGTAAATCTGGTCTAAGTCTCACTGAATATCAACTTGTGAAACGAATTTGGATAGGATTGTTTTGCCACCAAATATGGCAGTATAGATAGGCAAAATTTCCGATTGTTTCAATTTCAGGCCCAGAACTACTATTAATGTTTGTCGAAGAAGAGGGACATGTATTTAAAGAATACTGTCACGATGAAAATTTTACTGTTATAAGAGATTTTTCTAGTTTCCAAAATTAAGATACTGTTTTGTGTTTTTAGAACAACTCATTAAATTTTTTAGCTTTTCAAATTATTTTCTTTATTGAATTAACGACTCTTAATTTTACTACATTAAAACATCGACGATTTTAGGTAATCCAAGCTAATTGGGTTTAAAACCTGTCATTACTCAAAGAGAAGTTCTTCAAGCGAGCCATAAGACGTTCATATATAGTTTCTACTGGATCGTAATTGTCATATTCAAATTTAAATTGAAAAATTCTAAATTTTTGTAGCGGACAATATGATAGGAACACACAGTTACTAACATATTGAAATAATAACCTAAATATACAATTAAATTACTCTCTAACCTTTTTGTGCGCAACTATACTTTTTTTAATGGTCTTTGGTCGTCCATGCTAATTTTTTAAGACCAGTGAGCTACAGAGCTGCAGCTAAGTTTTAGATCAAAACACAATTTTTTGAGAAAATCATCATAAGTTTATACAATGTATATGTATCCTGACTACAATGAAGCGATAAAATGGGGGTATACAAAGTTTTCTATTAGCTTGTGAAAAATTTGATAATGGTAATAATAGTTTCTCTGTCTTTTATAAAGTTTATGTTTATATTAAAAGGAAGATGAATGTGAAGGAGCTGGCTACATTGACAGAAAAACAGGTGTTTGTACTTATGGTATGATATATGTTTTCATTTATTTGTATGCTCTAAAAATTATTTTTAATATTTTTTATTATTGAAGTTAGAATTTTTTCAATTCATGGTCAATTTGGATCATTCTCCAGATCATCGTTCAGAATTTTTATCAGTATTCAAATAATTTGTTTGAACTGCCACTCAGTCCTATTAATTCATATGGTGACTACATCCCCTCCTTGGTACATACATCCCCCCCCCCCCAAATATTAAGATATAGCAATAATCTTTTCAGACGACTGTGACTGTGTATCAACGTATACCCAAAAGTCTGGAGTATATGGTATTGTGCTGGCCGGTGATCAAAAACATGTTTACTGCTCTTTCGAAAACCCCTACTCCTGGACCGTAAGATTTTCTCTTTGAATAATAATAATAATAAAAAAAAAAAAAAAAAAAAAAACATAACTTACTGGGCTTTAAACTATTGAATTTATTTTCATATTTTGATTTTTCTTCAGGTTATACAAAGACGATTGGACGGATCAGAAAATTTTTACAGAAATTGGACAGATTATGAATTTGGGTTCGGGAACCTTGAGTCAGAATTTTGGTTAGGTATAAATATGAAAGAGTCTATACTTTAATTTCTTGATATGCTTAGTATGATCAAGGAGAATATCCTCCATGTGAAGAGATTTTTCAGTCTACTTCATCATGAACTGTGGGAAATTTGTTTTAAACTGCAGCAGTACATGTACATCTCGACAAATCAATTCTGAAACTATAAATAAATTTAACAGCTCTACATGATCAGCAGTTCGATCTGACATTGTTTAGCATGTGTAATCTTTGATCATTATTCTCTCTGTGTTTTCCGTTTTCTGATCTAAAAATAACATCAATAAGAATTAGAGGAGATCTTAAAACTGAACGCGATTTGTAAAAAGGAAAGAATTATCTTTACCGCCCAATTAGTTTTCTCAAGGCTACCCCTTCAAACCGCCATATTAGCCTCAGCTTTGTTCACGGTTCAATGTATTTTGCTTCACGAATTCATCATTGTCATTGTGATATATTAGACAAAAATGCCCTCTGTTTGCCTCTGGCACGTCCAGAAAAAAAGTAATCCAAAGATATTTGAAATCAACTGCCCAGGTCAATGCATTTCAAAGTGAAATAAACACAAATGCACCTTCAATGAAATAAAATAAACAAAAAGTACAACGTGAGTTACAAATGCATGTACTGCACGATGCAGCGACCAGCTAAAAGCAATTAGGCGTTACCAATGCGAAGGATTTATACTCGCCAGTGCTGATATAGGAGATAAGAAAACTAATATGGTATATGCCTATTAACGGGACGTATTCAGCTTTAAGGAACTTGTTGAGTTGTACAAACAATAAAAAAATGATGCTATCTCTTTTTTTCTGAGTGGCCGGTGCTGGTGTGTGGGAGTAGGGATGGGAATCAGGCCCTCTTAATCTCCACTCTCCCAACTTGATCCTTTATTGTAATCCACGTTTATTACATTCAAGGCCTTCATAATACTAAATGACTGCTCTGCAGTCATTGTTTTCAAGATCTTGAATTGTTTCTAAATTTCTCGTTTTCTTTATAATTTGACAACGAAGGAAACAAGTACATTCATCAACTGACAGCAAACGGACACACCATATTACGTATTGAATTGGAGGACCATGGTGGCAATACTAGATACGCGGAGTACAGCAGCTTTACCGTGGAAGATGCAAGTGACAACTATAGGATTCAGGTGTCAGGTTACTCCGGGAATGCCGGTAAGAAACAAATACTTCTTCTTTTACGAATTAAGTGTGTAGTGTTAAGAAATATTAATAATGAAAAGATCACGTTGCTGATCGCTGCGAAACATTTACATACAAGAACTGCGAACAATAGACTAAGTTTTGTTCAGCGGAGTACCTCCAAGTCATTTTCAAAAGTTAACATCAAAATTGAATGATTTTTCATATTTATATATGGATATTAATTTTCTTAAATCATAAGTTATAGGAAAAACAAAGAGTGATCACTCAATAATTTTGGTAAAATATGTGTTTTTCATAAAAATCAATGAAAAGCGGAAAATTATTTTTCAAAACCCTCCACCCCCGTGTGAAACAAAATCTTTTCACAGGTATTGTTTTTTCACAAATTCATACCAAAGCTTTCGTTGTTTCACATACACTTACATACAGAAAGAAATGGTTATTTTATTACCAATTTCAAAAAGTTACAAATAAGAAAGGTACTTCCTGTAACTTCACAAATTTTGAATTTAAATAAGTTTTAAACGTTCAAAAAGATTTCAGGGTCATTTATCTTTCTCCATTAGTATTTAAAAATCTGGTGATGTTTTAAAGCCTGTTTTCAATGAATAACATTTCTTCCCCCTCATTCCCCCTTATAAAAAGAGTTGTAATTAACTATTTGACACTGGTTTTAAAATCATTAATCAATTACCCATGAACCTTTCTTTTTATTCAAACAAGTTTTAATGGCTAAAATGCATTTAAAATAGATTAAATGGGAGTAAAATGTAGGCGGAAAACGAGAGTTAGCGTGCGTATTTTTTTCGTTCATAGACAGCAATACCTTTACATATAAAAAGTACGCAAATGAATCGTTGCGAATGTATGCTATAATTTTTTTTAAATATTTTATTTATTTGTATTAGGTGACAGTTTTGCGGGAACATGTAGTATATGTAACAATGGGATGCCTTTCAGCACCTACGACCGTGAAAATGATAACCATTCAACTTTGAATTGTGCGAAGTGGGGTAAAGGAGGATGGTGGCATAATGCCTGTCATAAAACAAACCTGAATGGTCTCTATGGTAACAACGGATACGGACAAGGTGTGAACTGGGAAAACTGGAAGACTTTGAGCTATTCCCTCAAATCATCCACTATGAAACTAAGAAAACCTTGAGGTTTCTGTTTAAAATACTAAGTAATAGTGAGAAAAAAAAGGAAAAAAAAAAACAGATGAAACAAACAAACAAAAAATTAGGAATCATTTTTTTAATGTATATAGGATAAATAAAATTCAATAGAAGAGTCCAGGACAACAATATGATCCCGAAGATTCAAATATATCTGGTTAATGTTAATATTGTCTGCGCATGACTACTTAAGTGGGTGACTGGGTGAACCTTTGATTAGTACACCTTGAAAATATGGATCGAAGCATGTGTGATTAAAGTTTTTTTTTTGGTAATGAAGCTTTGCTAGATATATTCTGCACTCTTTACAAAACAATCTCTATGGCAAAGCTAAAGTGATCAGCTATTAATTTTTCTCCGAATCCGAAAAGTGAGAATTGTCTATAGGCTGTCCAAAAGTACTAAGAACATCAATTGTTGCATTAGATCTCAAAATTCATGAATAACTTTCAAACTAGACAGATCACCCAATCCCCCCATTTTCTTTTTTGATAGGAATCGTAGATTTTAACTAGTGTATTGACACGGCAACAAATTAAATGTAAACGAGGATTTAACTTTACAAATATGGCCCCCACTTCGGAAAGCATTCATATGCATCATTATTCGTAATATATGAGTTGCTTGCCGACAATAAAGTTATGATGTAGTAATCAAATTATAGGTTACATTCGAATGATATCTGGGAATAATGACAATCCCATGAATTTATTTAGCGCGGAAATTGCCTATAATAATTTCAGGCATGTAGTATCAGAGGGGCCGGGGTGCTTCCCACATTTTACCAACCATTACTTTTTACTGTTAAAAAATGGTTGTGGTAAAGCTAGTTGGCTCCTCCACTTTTTGATATAGTAAGTCAATACAAGGTAATTTGGAAATGTATGAAGAAAATTTGGTTGTGAAAGAAGTTGGAAGGTTGGACAATACCCCCTTTTTTTTGCTTCTTAAGTTTTTTTTTCAGGTACGTTGTTAATTTCTTTTTTACCTGGTTGCCCCCTCCCCCTTTCAAAAACAATTCTACGTGCCTGAAATTTGTCCCAGTTATATTAAGTTCTTTTTTCTTGCCAACAGAAATTTTTATGAAAAAAAAAAAAACCCTTTTAAAATTGTTGATAAGAAACAGACATGCATCTAGGATGGATAAAACTGTAACTGCTTTAGAGATAGTCACGAGGAAAAAAAAATAGAAGTATTTTATGGTCCATATTTTTTTCTTCAATTCTTAAAAGTATTAGATTTCATAAAATTTCATTGCTTCACTCCATCCTCCTGATTGTATGTGTGCGGAGAAGTTATGAACAAGTTACCATGGTCCCAAGTCCCAAGAAATGGGATGTCGGAAAACTAAGAATTTTGATACAACCTTCGAAAAACATAAGCAGAACATATTCTTTAACTTTGCATACACCAATTTCGATTTTGTTTTCGAGTTTTAAGCAATGAATAAAGTCCACGTCACGTTAACACGGACAATAAGAACAATACAATGGATAGAATCTTTGTTTTTCTGGCTTTTGTATTTGCACTCTGTGTTTGCTGTCACAGGGCAGTTGAGTTTGTCGAAACTTAGTTATACTCATTTCTATAAACAAATCTTTCGATTAACTATACAAACATCGTAAAAGAAATATATAAAATGAAATATATAAGATTTATACTTTTTACACACTTTTTCTCTCTAAGTTTGAGTGCCAAAAGTGTAAATCTGAAATTTTAAAGTTAAAGTGAGAAGAATAAATAAATATGCTGTGATCTGTAAATCACAGACACATAAAATCAAATATTAAACACATTTTTAGCACAAATTTTATTTCTATTCCATCCAATGAACTACAATTTGTCTGAAAACCTTTTTCTAGTCGCAATACATATACCTTGGTATTTTTACATAGTAGCACTATCTGGTTTTATTTGTAATTGTAGAATATTGTCTTCTACTTTGTAATTTTATGAAAAAGAGTTGTATTTGAAATTACTCACAATACATCACATTCTTTTATGTTTTATACAGCGTATTTTATTTTCTTGTGACACTTTTTGAGGATTGTACTACACTTTTTCGTTACTCTTTTGTCATGTACTCCTTAATAATCCTTTCTAAAGGAGTTGCATGAGTTTCCTCATATTGTTTTAGGAGCACGTATCAAACGTACTGCGTAGTCTAAATGGTACATGTTATATGTGAATTTCGATCGTAATATACAAAGTCTGTTTTCTTGCTATGACGCTATGGAGAAAACGGAGTGCTATATCAATTAACTGATGTAATTATACCGTCTCTTAGTTTATTGATATTTATATATAAAAGAGTAAAAAACACACACGAAAGAACTACTTTTGCTGATACAGAGTTTGCAGATTCCTACACAAAGAATTCGAAATTGTGATGTATCTATTCCACACAAATAATTAATGGATGATTATGTTTTTCTTTAATGCTTACAAATGCAGAAATATAGCTATTTCTAACCAATCTTTACCTCTGTATATTGAGTACATTCAGGTATGATTAGCATCATTCAACATTCTAAGGAAAGGGAGAGATATAGGAGTCAGCCACTTTGTATTCAATAGCCAATACGACTTTTATCTTGAATGCAAATGTGTACATATAATTTATGCAGGAAAAATCATGGAGGCTGCAATTAAAAACTGTAGTTTTTGGGTTTTGCATGCTCACATACATATTTATGTAGTTGGCTTTTCGTGCCATAGTATTTATAAAGATATTTAGAGATATTTTATCTTTTCAATTATTTGTCTACATTTTTCAATACTTTGTTTTAGAATGAATATTTTACAACTAACAGACATCGATTTTTTTCTTGCATGATATAAGCTAGCTTAAAAATGTTTAATGTTTATTATATAGAAAAATTGTAAATTAGGTCTTTGAAGTTCAGAAACACATCTTATCTATTTTCACAAATCCAATGCAACTTCTGTCTAGCTTGATAATATGCCAACATTGATTTAAAAATAAATGTTGATGTCGACTTTTATCAAACTATTTCATAGTTCATTCAGTCATTATGGTGGCATTTTCCTATCTGTTTTCGTGCGATGTCTGTCATAGTCTGAACGTAAACTTTCATATTTGTATTTTTTCTAAACCACTGGGCCAATCTAAAGCAAAATTTCTATAAAGAATCCAATGACTTCGGGTATACAAATTTAAAGAAAGGCAAAAGAAAGGCAGATCAATGTCCCTTTTCAAAGATAAAAAATGAAAAAGTAAAAAAAAGATAAGTAGGGTCATTTATAACAATCTTCTAATTAAGAGCCAGAAATGACAAAATTTAAAAGCTTCCTGATAAAGTAGAGACTTAATTTTGTTCAAACCATGTTTCTGCAGCAGGAATGGAGAACAGAAGAGGTCAATAGTTTTCAGTGAAATATATAAAGTCCTTAAAAAGCATCTCAAGAAATACATTCTACAATCCGGCAAATATATTTGCCTTTCCGGAAAGGAATGGGTCACAAAATTTTTTTCTAGAAATGTATAAAACATCTCTTTTATTTTCAGCAAGAATTCAGCAAGAGAGTCGATTCTTGATCTTGTATTTTAATGAATTCAAATACTAGTAACTGTAAAATCGTACCCAAAACACGGCACCAAATTATCAAATTGTTATAAAAATATCCTCTTGTAGAGCAAATTGATAAACTCATTGCTCCTACCACCAGGGCCCTGAAAGTTTGCAAAGAATTATAAAACAAGAAATAAACATGTGAAGTATGAAAACCCTAGCATCAACTGTTCGAAAGTTATGGCCAAGGTAAAAGTTTGGTAAAATTTTCCAAAAGTGGATGAAACTCCAAGGTCAAGGTCAAGAGGTCAAATATGTTGTTACCCAAAGAAAGTCTTGTCACAAGGAATACACATGTGAGATATGAAAACCATAGCCCCAACCTTTCAAAACTTATTGGCCAGGTGGAAGTTTTTGTGAGACAAACAGATAGACAGACACACAGACAGACGGACGGACAGAGCAAAACCCAAATGCCCCCGAATCGTCGATGGGGCATAAAAATCCAATGTGGCTCGTAAGAAACTTGACACTAAATTGACGGTAAGACCTTGAAGCCCTATTGTTTTGACAGTTACAATTATAAATACACAGACTGAAGAAGACTGGTAAGAAGAATTTTGATCAAAAAAGCTTAACCTTAAAGTTTACAAGTAAAAAGTTCGTATACTGCTTAGATTACACCGCATAACGTACAAAGCAATAAAAGAAGAGCACTCAAAGTTTAAAAAAAGAACTTTTTCCAATCAATTAAAGAAAAGTCAACATATGTTCCGGTGAGAATGCTTTCTGTAAATATATATAAGGTAATCATGTAATTAAATTCAATATACTTAAGGACATGAATACTTAAGAATATACATATTAAATATAATGATATGAGATACACCATTTGGTATATATTGATCGAATCGACTGTCAGTGGCTTTTACTTAAAAGATGCTTGTTTGTATAACTATATCTTTTTGTGTGCTTTTTGCTAAGATTCTGATTTTTACGAACGTTCTATCAATTGTACAAAATTATCTTTGATTAGCACAATGAAAGCTTCTTTCCTCTGTTTCTACCCTGTTTAAGAGATAAATATATAACTACTTTAAAAAGTTTACTTAAGAAAATACTTTATGGCCAAGTTTCTTTCAATTTTTACTATGTGTTTGATCTATTGCAAATTCTTTATACCATGAATGAATAAAACAAGACCTTTTTCTTTGTTTACAGAATGTTCTCAATTGTTGTCTTTTTTCTAAATGTGCAATTTGTCTTAATTGTAATCAGGGATGTTTTATATTGTAAAAGATGAGTAAAATTTAAAGTATGGAAGGATTGTAGTAGTTTTGAAAGGATTTTAAGAGTACTATTAATGTGAAAATAGTTGTAACCTCTCTAGATTGACAATTTCTGATAAATTATAATAAGATACATCCTTATTCAATGTCTAGAACATCTATATT